AAGGAGAGGAACCTTCCTCGATTCCCTTTTTTCGGCGAAAGGCTCCTTCTCCTCGTTTGCAAAGCTCCTCGAGTTCAAGCGAGAGTCCAGTTACAATTTCGCTAAAGACAGGGTTCAGAATGTCCAGAATCGATTTCGATCAGCAATTCCATTTACGTGAAGAGGAGGATCTCACATGCATGCCAGACGATGACGGCCAGGAGAAGAAGGCCTCCGTGCTTCCACTCGAACATGTCAGAAGACCCGCGGATGTTCACATGTCCCAGAGCCGCGTCCTTCCACCCTGTGAGAACTCGGGAAGGGCGATGGGGTCTCATCGCGCGTAGATGACGCAAAAGCGGTCCAATTGGCCTACACGGCCCCAAACAACTCGATAGCTGGTAATACCCTATCAAGAGCTAACGCGTTTGCGACCTGGCAACGTTATCAAATCATCAGGTAATAGCGCACTTATTGCACTATGGTGGACATGCGATGTGCCTGACTCTCAGGGTCCATAAATCGTTGGATCTCTTCCCGACCACGATGACCTCAATCGAGGCTGAGTTGGGTGTAAAATGTTAGTAGGGAGTTAAATGTACTTAATGCGGTGTGGTTTGCCAGGTTCAGACCGACGAACAGAAGACCAAAAGGGAATTAGCCGACAATTCGCTTCAACACGAAGGAAGTGGCCCATGATAGGCAATGACAAGAAAGAGGCAGATACAACCCCCAATGGAGACCGGGCTTGCAGACGGCTAAGAAGCGTCGTAGGCGGAAGAGGCGTGCAAAGAGAGAGCCCAAGGGTCGGAACTCGAAGCCAGGGTCCAATAAAAGGCTAAGAATGGCTGAGATACCTCACTCCTTCGAGGATGCGAAACGTGATCTCCGAGAAATAACGATCCGGGCCTAATCAATTACCCTCTTTTGCACAGACACACGATGCTAACTGCAATTTACACGAAGATGCGTAACCGGTCGATCACCGATGGCAGAAGCGAGAAGAACCATGGCTTTATGAAGGGAAAGGCAGCAGCAAGGCCAGACAATGCCAACGGCAATGAAAGCTGGTAAGGAGGTGAAAACGGGGAACCTTGGGGAAAAAGGGAAGAAACCTTGAGAAAAGCAAAGATGGTCAGACCGTGGATGACCTTGACCCCATATAGCATTTACCCACATTTTGTTTGGGTTAGTCAAAAACTTTCGGAACACTTTGTAAAGTACCAGGTGATGAAGAGGTCGGTCCTTAAACGGCCAAAGCCCAGGAACTGCAAGAGTCCCCGGACAAGCCTCACACTGCTGTAATATGCTAGACAGACAAGGGGCTCCAGGCAGAAGGAAGCTACAAAAAAATCTAAGCTTCAGGCTAATTATCTAGGCTAATCTAGGCCAATTATCGGCTACTCGACCGATTGCATCAGGGGTGCACGGCCGACCCAGGGCCTCGACAGATAAACTCGAAGTCCCCATAAGCTAATCGAGGACAGTCGACGACATGTACAAAAGTGTCGCGTGGGGCAGTTGCATTCAGTCGACTCGTGTGAACGCTACGTGGGTCAGGCGGTGCGGCGAAGATCCCGAACCTGCGCTATGTGGACAAGATTTGATGTGGCAAGCAGAAAGGACAGGGGATAACTGGATACTTCAATAATGGCCAACACAAGGAAGGAACAAGACGGCTGAGAGCCACCGGTGGAAGGGCGACGAGCCGCAAGGTCCAGCAAGGAGGGGCTCTCTTCTAAGCGGCCGGGGCCAGAATGAGAACGAAGGGCGATCTGCCGAGTGCGAACGGGTGACAGCTGGGAAGTATCTCCCTGGAATACCGACACAAATGCAAGAGGATGCTCCACGATTGCTCAGGAAGTGCCACCAGAGTACGAGATCGTCCGAGAATGCCACGAAATGGAGAAGCCTCCACTATATAAAGGGAGGAACCAGGCAAAGCTGATCGGAGAACGTTGTCCTCTCGCCCAAGGTGAGGAGGGCCGGATACAAGCCCCTTGGGGAGGGCGAAAGGGGTCAAAAAGGCCCCCTGAGTACATGCCAAGAGTATCTCATGCTTCTCAGCTTCTTCCTCGTTCTGCTTACCTCTAACGTTAGCTGGATGAAAGTTTTTAGCAACCTGTCGGGGTTTAGGTCAATCCGGTGACCATATTTAGGAATTAGGGCAATTTGAGCATCGCCATCTCCGTGCATGCCGAAAGACGTCTCTTGGTTTCTTGGCCTACAGCATTTTCTTTTAGTTTGAGTAGCTCAGTCATGAGAGTCTGAGACACCCAGAGCTTATCATTGGCAGTCGATGGCATGTACAGACGGATATAAGTTCCTCTGTTGCTCGTGGATGGTCGAAGGGGAGGACCCTCTTATGGCGCAATGGTCTCTATGGATCCGATGAGAGACGAAGGGTGCTGGCAAGAGCCAGATTCTGTTCTTGTATCTCCGTGAAACGGTTTAATCAGTTCCTCATGGTTAGAACTTCTTCTTCATCCTCTTGGACAATCATTCTGTCTGCATCGGTAAGACTCTGTCTTGTAGGCGATGGGAAGCCATAGAGAACTCATAACCAGGGTCAAGGACTGTGGTCAATTGGCAAGCACCTTGGCACCCATAATGTTTGTTGAACATGAACTTACCATTGTTGCGTTCGCCCTTACATGCAAATTGCTTACTATGATGAGTACCACGAGAAATGGCTGGAAAAACCGATAGCGTGACATCGGCTGCTGAATCAGGATGGCGATTCATAATTGCGAAAGTGAATTGACGGTCACTAATGTGCAGTAACTGGTTTTTATTGAGAAGCAGGTAGCAGATTTTCTACCTCGAGCTCGCTCCCGCGTCTCAAGACGCTTTAGCGTTAGAGTATCCAATGATTTATCATTATTTTGGGCGTTCCCACACAGGTCATGAGAAACGGGAGCGTGTCCCTCATGAATCGAGGTAACAGGACTCTAAATCTCCTTTTATTCTTCAGTCCATGAGTCTATCGGGTCGCTTTCGTCGCGTCAATTGATGTCGTTTGCGTTCCCACACTCATCGTTGCAACACGAGGGAACCAGAGACGGAAGACGTATTAGGAGATGGAAATTGTGAGTTCTCCTGGATGAGTCCCAAAGAGAAAAAGCGGGGAAAAAAAAATGAAAGGAAGCAAGGACCAAAAGGACAAGAAGAATAGAGACAATGTCCAGGATGATCCACGTTACTAGATAGTGCAGATTCTTTTGCAGCAGCTCTTATCGTTCGCCGTGCAGCACAGGATGATCAGAAAGAACAGGGCCATTGCTGAAAGAAAAGAATGAATCCAATAAAAGGGAGGTTTCATGAAAGGCGAACGTATGTCTATGGCAGTTGACGCGCGCGTCTTCCACGAGGCATGGCTGCTTGAAGTCGAGCACCTCGTGTCGAAAGCGTTCGGTTCCATTTACTCTATTCCTCTAACTGAGGATATTCATCATTGCCATAGCGGTTCTTCAGGGGGAGAGACCGGTTGAAATGCTTTCAAATTCTCTGAACTTCCATGGCGCTTTAGAGATCGTCACGAGGGAAATTACCAGCAAGTACTTTTCTCAAGAAAGATGGGAACCTTTAAAAACATATTGGTACAACGGAATTTCGTCAAAACACATTCGAAACAAAATAAAAACATGGACTCTACCTTTCTAATACGAATCACTCGGATTTCGCAACTCACCGGCGACAGAAGGTAGAGTGACCTGCAGCATGAGACGGAATACCCTGTCCGATTGTACTTTGATGATGTCAGGCGCTCCGGTAGTGGTGGTCGTCGTCGGTGTTCCCCCTGCAGAGAAATTCATGGAATTTTGGGGGAATTCGTCGAAGCCATAACACGACCGAGATGCAGGATTTCTAGCAGGTCCCGGTGAATCGTCCAGGAGATCTCGTTTTCAAAGGACTTTTTATATTTTTAAAATTCATTTTTTCGTTTTCAGTAATCGTACTTAGGAAGCGTGAGCATCAGTTTGCATTGCAAACCTAAGCCTTCATCGATTGACTGAGATTCCAGGATTTTCCGGCTTGGTTCTCACCGGAAGGAAGGTAGTCGGTTTGAAGTTCCCCAAGTTGGTAAGTCCCATCAGGCATCAGCGCCTTGGCGTCGATGTCGTCCTGGACCTTCCTCAGTTTCACGCCTTGGGTGAATTCCAAGTTGAAGTCGGAGATGACGCTGCCCTGTCGGTTGGCCAGGCAGATGGTCCTCTGGTAGAAGGCCCTTTGGCTGCTGCCCGACAGGACCGACACCATCTGCGCCCGACACCACGTGCTCAGATGAATCGCTTAAGATCTTGGAGCGATAAATTGATGCCAACGGGAACTACATCGACACATGGTTATCTGAAGGATGTCGGCAAAAAAAACTAGAATCGACTGCAGAATTACGTAACTGGGGATGAAGTGGGCTCGGACGTTGTCAGGGGAGAAATGCGACAAATCTATCATTGGGACGGTGATATTCCAATTCAGCTTCATTCTGCTGGAAGTTTGTAGATTGGGATGTGGTCTGGGAAGAATAATGTAGATATTAACTATGGGCAATATGGTATGAAAACCATGCGCTTCCTCAAATCTTGAGTGAGGAGGAAATGTTTTTATCCTGCTCCATCGACGGATATCCCTAGGTGCTCTCTGGTGCCGTTCGCATCGGCGACGGTCCGGAAATGGATTGTTGGATAGGTTAGATATTATATATTGAGCTTTCTAGTCACGATATCAAAGACTGGGAGTGGAGATGAAATCTCTGGTGAAGACTTGTAAGCCCAAGTATCACCGGAACGTTTAAGGAATGATCAAGGAACGTTTCATGAACGTTCTCGAGAACGTTCCTTGACTGTTCAAATGTCCGGAATTTGGAGCGATCAAAAAACGGTTCAAATCATGCGTTCTCTGAACGTTCATCCAGGACATATCCCAATCTTAGCGAAAATCTTTTCTCAAGCGCAGAATTCCCACTGATCAATCAGATGGAAAAAGGAAAAAAAAAAAGTTCTCTTTCTCCATAGCGGAAATTATGCACTCTCCGGTTTTCCAATTTTCTTCCCTCCGTCCTCCGGGCCAGAGTTTTCTGAAGATTCCTTGGACTGGGTTACCCCCATCGATTTGTCGAAGAGCTCAAATGCCTTCCAAATGAAAATGCCAGATGAAAAGATCGGGCACCGCAAGAAAAGCATTGGAGACAGGGGGCCGACTCGCTATAGCGGGTTCTTTGTCGTTGTCTTGAGTCGATTTTGCGGACCTTTTTTTTCTGGCCGATGTCAGAAGGGGATCAGCGTCCTCCGTGGCGTTCTTGGGCTGCTTGGGATGGGATTAATAAGCTCCAGTACGGGAAAAAAAAAAGTTCCATTGAAGTTTTCAAAGTCTGACCAGAAGTCCTATTTATAACTGGGATTAGCATAAAGACCGAAGATGACGGTGGAAAGGCGTTGCCACTCGCGTTGGATTGCACTAATGGAATTCATTTGGGAATTTTCGGGGAACCTTGGGAAACTCACGCCGAATTCGATCTTGGAGCAGAGGCCGTTGAACTCCGTGGACCCGACCGTGGCGTAGGATTCGTTCCAGGGAATGTTCTTGATGTGGAATCCCCGGAACTGAAGCTTCACTGCAAACAAAAACCGGATGAAATCAAAATTGATCAAAGTTGTAGTTTCGGTCTCGTTTCGGCCTGGAAGCCAAAATTAAAGCAGTACTAATAACAGAATGTCCCACCTGCATTAGGATTTGATTGGGTCAGGCGGTTTTTCGAGCTTGTTTTCCCCGCATCTGACGCCGGGTTGCCGATCGCCCCAGCTGAAACTTGACGATACATTTTATTTTTCGAGCCCTGTTGCCAAAACCCTGTTGCCAAGCAACAGGGTTTTGCAATCCCTGTTGCTTCTTACCTTTTAGCCCATAGGCGCTAGGCACTGCTACAAATTGCGATGAATTACACTCATATGGTGTCCGTATCAAAGGCGTTTTTAGATCTAATCAACTATACGACATTATCGTTTTATTGTGTCCGAAGCGCTCGAGATCCAAGGACCTGAAACGGGACTTGCGACTGAAATCGTTTCATCGATGTTACCATCAGTGGAAGGCCGGACTTGTGGGCGCCCAGAGCCCTGATCCTGTCATTTATCTAGTGGCATCGATTTCACGACTAACCATTCGGTTTAGTTTCGCGATCTGCAGGAATATTCTGTAAAAATTGCACCATTTAGGGGGATTCGCTCGGCGCACGAACAATCCATAGCGTGTCCTACGGTCAATGGGTTACCATTAGTCAGCGACTGGCTCTTTCCGATCGTTTTGCGAAGCCTCATGTGTCCAGGCGAACGTACAAAAATGATATCGCGAAAAATCAGCGTTCCCGATCGACATCTGCACATGGCATTTCCCTCCAAAACGAGGAATGTATCTCACGTGTATACGAGGCGGTGACGGCCAGGAGAAGAAGGCCTCCGCACTTCCACTCGAACATGTCGGAAGCACCGCGGATGTTCACATGTCCCTCGACGACGTCCTTCCACCCAGTGAGACCTCCCGACGGGCGAGGGGGTCACGTTGTCCTTGGAGACGCAATGGGAATAACCCATAAAGTAGGTTTCCTTGAAGGCACTGCAGGTAAATAAAAGGGGGCACCGTCGCCGATTTCGATTTCATTGCATGTCGTAAACATTATCTCCTTGTTCTTCTTCGTACGGTTTCCAGACCAGTAACCATTTATGGAGCAATAAGCATTCGTTCATATGGGCTATTCTGCATTACGACTGGGGGATACTAGGGAATAAGAGTTGTTGCAGTTTATTGAAGGGCAAGTTCCAGCCAGTAAGGAATAAAGTTGTCGGCATAAGTTGTTTCCAATTCGGCAGCGGTCGTTTCTATTTCAGTAGCGCTCTGTTTCCTCGATTTTGGCATCTTCCATTTCATTTTCGTTAGCTTTGAGGAATTTCCTGTTTCTTGCGAATGAACATGTGAATATGCTGAAAAGGGAAGGAAATAGCCAATGGTTCTATGCATGAGTTGTTTTCTGAGAACAGAGCGAGTGATCTGCATGAACATGGTCCATTAATACAAACGCATAATATATTTTTGGCGAAATATCATTTTTTTTATTATGCACATGGACATGCGCCAAGTTTTTTTAAATTTTAAATTGATTATATGCCCAACTGCTGCCTCTCCTATCTCGAGCATCTCCTCTGCTCAACTTCGCTGCAAACTTTGTCCTGGTCTTCGTCTTCCAAGTTCTGTCTGTTTGGGGAAGGCGCCACTCGCGCTTGACAGCTGCCTGGAATGCGGAGTGGGCCTCTTCTGTTACAATTAAAAAAAAAAAAAGGAAGAATATGCTGGCAGAAATTTCCATGCGAACGCTTGGGAAAATCATATGGAACCGAGACTCGTTTGTGGGGTCAGGCGTCATCCATGATGGCATAAACTCGTTCATCTTGTGGTCAAGTCATGCGGGAGTGTCTCAGGAGCTCCTCAAAGAATTCCTCAAACTTCGAAGATGTGACAGGCTCCTGCTTCATCGACAATGGAGCTCTAGGGATATGACGGGGACAGACTTCACATTGCAGTCTCGTTGGGCGTGTGCCTCGCTCCTTGCTGGATGTCGGAAAAGCCCTTGGGATGGAGGTCGTCATGGTCCTTGCTCTCTTTCAGGCTGTCGATGCGTGTGTGAATTTACATTCAATCGCATTGCCTTAAATATTTGTTATAGCTAAATCAAGGTTTTTTTTTTCGCAAGTCGGACTCGTATTGGCCGTGGCTAAAATCAATACTAATTGAGAATACAATTTTTGAATTTGATACTCCCAAGCAGTGAAACGAGCACACGTCCAACCCAGAGGACTCCCTGCACGGAGCATTCAATTTCCGAACACTGCAAGACAACGTCGGAGTCAGTCAGCGATAATTCAGTGCTAGTGTCGGGGTAGATTAACTGTTATTCTAAAAGTATTCATCGATTGCTAATCGAGGCTGATGGAGTTCCGAGCCCTTATCCAATATCGTCAGAGACCCCGAGTATTGCGGCTTAGAGCCTTGAAATGGTCAGCTCGATCGGCCCAATCGACCCAATCGACCCGCCTTGCGATTATGGCCGTGAAGCAAAGGTCAGACGCGGGCCGGTGCTCGAGTCGGGTCGGGTCGGGCTAAAAACCCACCCGTGCAGGGCTCTAGCAAGTGGACGGTCACGAACGTCTAAGCACGAAATCGCGATCTCAGTCCCGCCAATGTCCGCTCACCTGGTTCGATAATGGATGAAGGGAGGCGGAGGGTCGATGGAAGGTTGTTTCCGCGACGCTTCCCAGAGGCGAATCTCTTTAAATCGCTCACCAGACGAGAATGTTCGGCCCGTGACCTCATTCGTCTATATCAGCTGGTTGTCTCGGCCTTTGGCCGATCTGGGAGCGTCGGCCGACTCGCTTGAACAATGAAGGAAATTTGACAACGACGGACCATTGCGTCATTGGTGGGAGATCTCCGTGTCGTGCCTTTCTGCGCCTTCTTTTGGAGAGATTCATGCTTCAAAATGTCTGTCTGAGATGAAAAATGCTTAATGGTAATTGACGACAATTGCTTATGGTTCGTGGCTGCTTATAATTCGCACTTTCTGGGTATTTGCCTGAAATTTGATAATTTTTAAAGCTGGCATGAGTTGGAAGTCTCGGGAATAACCGAAAGGCTTTTACTGGTTGTTTCACAATTCCATGAGATGTCGGCCCTTAGCCCTTTCAGTGCCACACGGCCGATTCATAGGCTTGATCGATCATATATAGTTCCCGTGGCACGAAAAGGGATGAGAGGCAGGAACACATGCCAAAGCAGCAATGCTTCCCTTTCATGCTTCTTCAGGAGTTGCTCCCTTCGTGTGTTTCGTCGACGAGATGAGAGATGAAGGGTTCTGGCAAGTGTCTCATTCCGCATCTCCGTGAAATTTTTTTGGGTGACATGCACCGGATCTGTTCAAGTTGAACGAAACTGGTTCATGTCACCCTTAATCAGTTGCATCCAAGGTCCAAAGCTGAAGACGATTAACAAGCACCTTGGAAGTCTGGATGTTTCTTAAACATCAACCAGCGAGTCTAGCGTCCCCGCCTTGTTTGCAGATTGATTACCGTGGTGTGTGACTGCCAAGAGAATCAGTAGAAAAATCTACAGAAAGACATTAACGGTTCGATGAGGTTTACTCATGATTGCGTAAGAGATTCGATGATTTTTTTTTTGTTGCAGCAACAGGTTTTTATTGAGGATCAGGTCGCAGATTTTCGGCTTTGAATAGGAGCGCACTCCCAGGTCTCAAGACGCTCTAATATAAAAGTATTCAATTATTTTTAATTACTTCGGCGTTCCCACACAGGTCTTGAGACACGGGAGCGTGTTCCTCGCGAATTAAGGTGAAATGATCACGAGTTTTTTTTATTCTTCGGTCTGTGAGTCCATCGGGTCGCTTTCGTCGCGTCGATAGATGTTTGCGTTCCCACACAGCATCGATGCAGCCCGAGGGAACCAGAGACGGAAGAGGTCGTCGGAGTTGAACATTGCGCGTTTCTTCTGGTTGGGGTCCCAAGGAGAAAGAGCAGGAAGTAGAGGAAAGGAGACAAGGTCCAGGACGGTCCGGGTTGTTAGCCTTTGCAGGAGGAGCAGCAGCAGCTCTCTGCCGTCGCCGTGCAGCACAGGATGATCAGAATGAACAGGGTTATTGCTGAAAGAAAAGAATGGATCCAATAAAAGGGAGGTTTCATGAAAGGCGAACGTATGTCTATGGCAGTTGACGCGCGCGTCTTCCACGAGGGATGGCTGCTTGAAGTCGAGCAGCTCGTGTCGAAAGCGTTCAGTTCCATTTACTCTATTCCTCTAAGTGAGCATATTCATCATTGCCATAGCGGCTCTTCAGGGGGAAAGACCGGTTGAAATGCTTCCAAAGTCGTTTCCAAAGTCAAATTGAACTTTGCAAGGAGCATTAGATATAATTGTAAAAAGTAATGGTAAAGACTTTTCAGAAAGATGGGAGCCTTGAAAATGATATTGTGGAATTTCGTCAAAACACATTCGAAACAAAATAAAAACATTGAATCTACCTTTCTGATATGAATCACTCGGATTTCGTCACTCACCGGCGACAGAAGGTAGTGTGACTTGCAGCATGAGACGGGATACCCTGTCCGACTTTACCATGACGATGTCAGGCGCTCCGGTAGTGGTGGTCGTCGTCAGTGTTCTCCCTGCAGAGAAATTCATGAAATTTTGGGGGAATTCGTCGAAGCCATAACACGACCGAGATGCAGGATTTCTAGCAGGTCACGGTGAATCGTCCAGGAGATCTCGTTTTCAAAAGACTTTATATTTTTATACGCCCTTTTTCTCTTTTTCAGTAATGGTACTTACAAAGCGTGAGAATCAGTTTGCATTTGAAACTTAAAGCCTTCATTGGTTGACAGATTCCAGTATTTTCTGGCTTGGTTCTCACCGGAAGGAAGGTAGTCGGTTTGAAGTTCCCCAAGTTGGTGAGTTCCATCTGGCAGGAGCGAGTTGGCGTCGATGTCGTCCTGGACCTTCCCCAGGTTCACGCCTTGGGTGAATTCCAAGTTGAAGTCGGAGATGACGCTGCCCTGTCGGTTGGCCAGGCAGATGGTCCTCTGGTAGAAGGCCCTTTCGGTGCTTCCTGACAGGGCCGACACCATCTGCAATCCCTCAAAGTCCCTTTCATAGTTGAACCGCTTATACAGAGTTCTCGGGGTGATCGAATGATGTCAACTGAAACTACATCGACAATGAAATCCGCAGGTACAGATGGTGCGGACTCGAAAGGAAGTTGCCAGGGAGGAAATGAGACGGTAATGTCACCGTCATGGATTTACTTCACGTGTATTCTCCTGGATGTTCGTAGACCGGGAAGTTTTCCGACAATAATAATGATTACTGCTTTAAGACGAAAAAGGGGAGATGTTTCCCATGAGTAACGAGGGAACGTTAGTTTCCCCCGTTCACCAGATGTCCCAGGGGACTCTCCAGTGCCGTTCGAACAGGCAATGCCTTGGAAACCAATTCTTGGAGAGGAGAGATGCATTTTCAGGCCTGGGCGTTTGAAAGGGCTTTTGTCATCAGGGTCTGATTTCTCAGAAAATTCAAAGTTCATTTTACAAATAAGCTTCGAATTTGCAAAACAATTAGTAAAATTATCATAATTTTTACCTGTAATGAATCACATTTCGTTCGTTTTTCAAGCGCAGTTCGCAAAAATGACCGAGCTCGCCCAGCACGCATGCCTCAATGTTCCTCAGAAAGTCTTTTAAATTGAACTGAATCGAATCGAAAAAAAAAATTTCATGGAAAATTCGTCTTTGGGTGGAAACTCGGGACACTCACGCCATATTCGATCTTGGAGCAGAGGTCGTTGAACCCCGCGGAACCGGCCGCGGCGTAGGAGTCGTTCCAAGGGAGGTTCGTGATGTGGAATCCCCGGACCTGGAGCTTCACTGCGTTCGCGGGCCGTTTTAGCGAGATTCGGGATTAGCCTCTGGATTAGCGTCTGGATTAGCCTCATTTGTGATTAGCCTCACCTGAGTTGGGATTCGACTGGGCCAGCAGGTTGATTGAGCTTCCGCCGGATGTGGAGGCGCCGATCGCAGCGGCTGAGAATCCAAATGACTTTTTTTTGTCAATGAAGTCAATTGGATGAAACGGTTTGCTTAAGTTCGAAGAATGATGAAAAATGACAAACTGAGATCCTTTGTCGCGATTGACAACCTCGATTGAATCAATTGAGGCTATCTGGGATGGTCAGCGATAAGCAATCGCGGATTTCGACGGCGAAATCGACCGCATTTGGGAAAAATCTGCAGCAAAAGTTGAGCGTCGTGCCGAGAATATGCCGGTGGCAAGTCGGTCGATAGGCCTGGATGTGGCACGACGGGGTCCGATGGCCCAGAAAAATTGCCTGGCCCCCAGCAGCCTACTTATCGATAGTCACTCTGGGAGCACAGGGACTATCGCAGTCCTGATTATCTTTGGAGCACAGTGACTATCGCAGTCCTGATTATCCTGGGCGACGAATGAGCCAGTAAGGAATATCCGAGCCGAACTCATCATTCTGGTTTTGGTTCATCTTAGTCACCCTGTAACAAGGTTGAACCTGAGATACTATGGCCTTCCGCATCACATGGGGTCCATCCTCGCGACGTACGCACTGAGGACTCGATCCTGGGCAACTTGAATCTGTTGCCAAGGATCGAGGTCGCTGGAGGACACTCCTGGGCACGCTCGAACCGCGACCATCCGAGCCATCTCGATTTTAAACAAATTTAGGGTATTTTGAGTGCTAAGATTGTGGATTATTTGCTCAGGAAAAACAATTTCTTCTCGTCTGAGAGCTTCGATTATACTTCTCCATCATCTTCATTCCTGTGACTAAAAAAGTTGAGAGCCATATCGTACCTTTACGTCAATAAACGTCAGTCATTGCTGCGAATTACGATGAGGAAGCTCGGGTCACTTCCGGCTTATGGGGGGATACGATGGCATAACGCTTCCGTGGAAGCAAAGAGCAGTGCCTCTGTTTTCCCTCCATTTTGCCTTGAACCTTCCAAGGTGTACGAGGCTGTTTCGGGTGTTATCAGCACACTAGCACGAGGGGCTCATCGGATTCGGCTGAAACCGAACCGACTGTTTCGCCTGGGGCCTTGACCCTATCGTGGATCAAGTGGCAACGGTCTCTCGGCTGGACCTTATGGCCTGGAACATTCCGGCAAATGGCGAAACTTTCAAACTTGTGCCGTCTAGGAGGACCTGCTCGATTCACGAACAGAAGTTTTCACTGCGTTTTCCGCTGTCCAAGGGTTACTATTAGTCGACGGCTAAATACTTCTGATCGTTTGCTAAGCTACATGAATCCAGGCAAACGTGACAAAAAGGTATCGCGAAAAGTCAGCGCTCCTGATCGACATCTGCACATGGCATTTTCCTCCAAAACGAGGAATAGATCTCACATGTAAACGTGGCGATGACGGCCAGGAGAAGAAGGCCTCCGCACTTCCACTCGAACATGTCAGAAGCCCCGCGCACTCGGATGTTCACATGTCCCAGGGCTGCGTCCTTCCACCCTGTGAGACCTCCCGACGAGCGATGGGGTCACGTTGTCCCTGGAGACGCAATGCGAATAATGCATAAAGCAAGTTCCCTCCAATCAATCTCTATGATCAGTATCGGCGGGAACTCAGCAGTCGGTATCTTAGGAACGTGCCTACGACTCGCTAACAGAGAATCTTGGCAACGATTCCGTATATCGCCTATTGCATGCATTGGGTGGCCGGGTGACGCCGTCCCTCTTCGCCTCATCGATTGAGGCTTGTCTTTCCTACACGTTTTTCCCCTTCGACCGGGCAATTAACGTTGATTCCTTTACTAATCTTCCTTCTGTGGGAATAATTGGCACATTTACGTATCGATCCGCTAATTACTCCGTGGCCGTGTACCGGTTCACTTCCTGGCCATGCGAACGCCGTGACCGAGGAAGCGTGCATAAGTGGGTTCTGCACTATTGTCGTTGTGGAATCGATGCCGTGTCGCTGACGTCAATCAAGACGGAGGTGGTCCGACACATTCTTATGCGTATTCAGTACTTCAGTACTTCAGTACTTCTTTTTTTCTATATCCACGATATTAATGTTCATTTTTTAACCTGGAATCATGAGGACTGAGGTCATCTCCGAACGGATACTCGTAGTGTCTTTGGAGATCGGAGAGAAATTCGGGGAGGAAATCTCAGCCGGTTTCAACGGCTTATCATTGGTTTCATCAGCAGAGAATCTCTGCGAGATGAACCTGATGGAAAAAAAATTTTTTTTTTTTCTTAGAAAAATATTTTTCTGAAATGCCGGGAAATGCGCATTTTCACAAGCAAAGAGGGATAAAATTGCATCCAGTGCCAATATTTCAGAGCCAAAATTCCACGAAGCACAGAGAATGCAAATAACAGTCTTGCAAAAAACAAAAAGCTTAGCGGTCTTGTTGACCTTGAAGTCAGCCAAAGTGGATTCCATTCGACTGCGGCCGTCTTCGACAGCTGCTTGATCTCAAAGAACCCCAAATGGCTGCGTTGCTGGACGAACAAAATTTTTTTTTCTCCACTCTAGACTAAAAAAAAACAAAAAAAAAAAAAAAGTGGTCCGAACTGGTTTATTACCGCTGGCATCCAGGATATTAATTGTCGCCGATTTAAAAACACAGGATCGTTAAGTGGAAGCTGCCAAATCTCGTTGTGGTTTCGAGGACTAATCGGAGTCTCAAGTCCAGGCGAGAAGAGCGGAATCGACGGGAAGCCTCCCACCTGTCGGTCTCTGCCAGGTGGGAGACCGACAGGTGGGAGACTGGAAGACATTCGCCTGCGGAAACCAAGAAAACCGATATTTGGATCTCCATGAATTTTTTTTTATTACTATCAGTCTCTTTATTTATTATTATTATTTCATCATAGTGTACTTGCAGAAAACGACTAAATATTTTTCTTCAGCTTTTCTCCGCAGTCGAATCGTTGAATTCCTCGCCCGACTGCGCCGGAAAAATCTGGATAGTTTTGGTTCGAACAAGGGAGGGATCTGTCGCCTGCTGTCTTTTTTGCATTCGCCATCGAAGCCCACGATGGAAGAGCGGATGGAGTCGGGTTTTTCATTCCTCTGTTCGCGCGGTGTGCGTGGAGGCACTAGGGAGGCTCCTGCTGGTGTGTGTCGTCTGCGATCGCGTGGTGCCTCGCTGCCTGTGAAGGGTCGAGCGGGGAGGCCCTCGCTTCGACCGTGAGGGCGGATGTGGGCTGGGAAGGACCCGATTTCCTTCGTGGAGCGGCTTCCTCGGCTCCTCATCGGCCGATGAGGAAATTTTCTCATGCTAGACGTTTGGCCGTCAATGGATTCCTTTTCCTGCGACGGATGCGGGTGGAATTCATACGAAAGGAAGAAGAAAATTTTACGCTTTTCCTCGGCGCTCAAAGAAGTAAAAATCTGGCAAATTTGAGGAAAAGCCATTAAAATTGGCACTCGAATTCGTTGCATTGTGCCAGGACATTCAGTCCCAGTGACAAGGTCGAAGGAAGATTTAAGAAAAAAGGGAAAATTCCCAAAACGTTCTGACGTAAAACATGCAGAGGTCTCCGACCGATCGCCCAGCCGAGAAACCGAGAAGGATTTTATTCCTGAACTGTGGAATGAGGAAATCTGGCTAAGGCAATGGGCCTCAAAAAGGGAAAAGTGGATGTCGCCGATTCCGCCGGTGCCGCCGTCGAACAGGCGATTTGTCTGTTTGGGTGTGATCATTTATCTTGCTTGATCGGTGCTTGTGTGTCATTATTTAGTTGACGATCGCTTTCTCGCCTGGAGGGCCAAAAAATAACTCAAAGTCACGAGGAAGTGGGTTATCAGAGGTAAAAATCAGTTCTAAAGAGGCCCAAAATCTTGCAATCGGTTTCTCTCGGTGTACTTGGGCCGTCCTGGCCGTGCAGGAAATATTCCACTCTGTGAATGCTAATGGACCTGCTGATACCCTATAAAAAATTCGAGTCCAGGTTAATAAGGGAATGGGACATACGTCTCTGTCATGAGAGACCCTGAAAAATCCGGCACGAGCCGAGGACCCAGCGTTTTGCAAGTTAGAGCCCTAAACGGACCGCGGATCGTATCGATCGGGTGGAGCGCTGGGGAGACTTGAATCGGGCCGATCGGGTCGGGTTCAAAATGGAAGACCCGTGCAGGCCTCTACAGGCAGATAAACATCAACGCAAGCACGCGACTTTCTGCTGTGTTTAGTAGATTCCCATCGATTTCCGTCCGGGTGGAACTCTTCCCCCATCCAGACTCGCGTGA